CCCCCCCCCCCCCCCCCCCCCCCCCCCCCCCCCCCCCCCCCCCCCCCCCTCCCCTGCCGTCCTTTGCCATCCTCAAGACATCTCTCCTGAGACATATACGGTGGTACACGGCAAGACCTCCGACAGGACGCAGCGGCAAGGACGGCACGAGAATCAGTAGCTGCCGTTGACGGGCCCTGGGACGGAAACGTCGGGGTCTTCGACCACCGGACCCTTCTTGCCACGCAACGTCAGCGGGAAGGGGTATTCGTCCGGATCTTCTTCGGTACTGTCAGACAATCACCCGTTAGCCCTGGCTCTCCTCTCGTCCTCCTCTCCCATCTTCGACCGGGACCGGAGACTCACGGCAGCTTCCACGCCACATAATCCTCGGTATTCAGACCTTCCCTCCCCTCCTGCAGGCTGGCAAAGTCGCCCGGCGTCATCATGCCGCTGCGATCCTTGGGCGACCCCGGAACGGAGAACGGCCTCGAGATCTTGATGTCGGTGCTGGAGAAGAAGTCCGCCTCGGCGGCCGCATCGTCGTCGTCTCCCGAGAAGGAGTCCGGGTACGCCCTGCGCAGGGCCAGCTGGCGCGCCTTGACGTACTCCATGCCCATGCGCTTCCAGTCCAGGAGGTCCGACAGGCGCTCGGTGCGGTTGCGCTGGTTGATGCGCTGCCGTCGGCTCTTGGCGCAGAAGTCGAACATGTACGACGTCAGCTGGTCCACCGACTCGTCCACGCCCTTGGTGCGCCGGTCGACGATGTAGATGCCGTAGTCGCTCGAGTTCTCGATCAGCTCCTCCATGTAGCACCCGAACCCCGACAGGTTGCTCGTGATGCTCGGCACGCCCATGACGGTGCACTCGGCCGGCGTGTAGCCCCAGGGCTCGTAGTACGATGCGAAGATGCCCATGTGGCAGCCCCGCACGAAGTCGTCGTAGTCCAGGGGCAGGACCGGGTTGGCCGAGTTGAGGAACTCCGGGTGGAACACCACCTTGACCCGGTCCGACGGGTGGTTGAACAGGTGGACGCGGCGGATCTGGTTGAGGATCGGGTCCTCGTGGTCGTTGACCATGTTGTGCGTCACGATGGGCGGCAGGCTGTGGCGCTTCATGGCGAAGAGCCGCCGCCTGAGGAGGACGCGATCCTGCGGCGAGAGGAGCTCCTTGTCGTCCGGCATGGCGTCGCCCTCGTGCCAGCGGAGCGACCGCTCGAACAGCCGGCGGCCGATGCTCTGCTCGATGACGTTGGTCGTGTCCCGCAGCGACTTGATGACGGCCTGGCCCTTGAGCGCCTCGACCGTCAGCGACGTCGTCTGCGCCGGCATGATGATGAAGGCCACCACCGTCATCTTGCTGCCGGCCGCCTTGAGCCGGTGGTTGAGCCGGGCCAGCGACTCGATGAACATGTCGACGCCCTTGTTCCGGAACTCGTACCGGCCCGACGTGAAGATGTACAGCGTGTTGTCGGGCTCGAAGTCGTAGTGCCCGTAGAAGTGGCCGCGCACGAAGTCGTGTATCTTCTCCTTGGCCTGCTGGTGCAGATTCTGGAACTCGTGCACGGCCGAGAACTTGGTCACGTTGAGCCCGTTGGGCAGCACGCCGTCGGGTTTCCGCTTCAGCAGGTGCTCTGACTCGTAGGCGGTGATGTGCGACACCGTGGTGAAGACGTCGCACGCGTGCGTGGCCGCGCGCTCCACGCAGTACCGGTGGTAGATGCCGCGCTTCCCCGCCTCGGCATCCACGTCGAACCACTGCAGGTTGTTGTAGAAGTCGACGGAGCCCGCGCACAGATAGCGGCCCAGGAGCGTGGCGTGGGTCGTGAAGATGGTGGTCACGTCAATCTTCCGCCTCTTGGTGAGGGGCAGGGCGACGCCGGCGAGCCATTCGTGGAAGTGGGCAATGACGGCCTTGTCCTTTTCGTGACAGACGAACTGTTGCAAGGGAACGGTCGGTCAGTCCGCCGTAGCCTCTCGACTTGACCTGGACGATGGGAAAGCAGGGTAGGAGACGGAGCGCAGGCAAGAAGAGGTAGGAGCAGGAGAAGGAGAGGAGAGGAGAGGGAGAGAAGCAGAGAAGGAAGGACAAGGACGAGGACTCACCTCTCCTAGAAACCATGCGACGAGATAACCGAAGACGATGGCCTCATTCGTCTCCTCGTCCGACGGCGGCGAGGGGATGCTGGCAATCTCCCAGAGGTCGGCCTTCCACTCATTCAGGTATCCATAGGCGGTCTTGGTGTCGATGAGGAGGACCCTGGGGGCGCCCTCGATGAGCCAGCGCCCGTACATGAGGCCGATTCCGCGGTCCCTCATGCTCCGTATCGTAGCGGAGAGTGCTTCGGAGGCGGGTTCCATCTCTTCGACCTCGACGGCGGCCTGGATTGCTGATCAGCGACTCGGAACTTGGCTGCGCACCAGGAAGTGAGACATGAGATGGATAGGCTGATAGGTAGGCAGGGGAGAGAGAGAGAGAGAGAGAGAGGGAGGGAGAGATGGGCATCATAGGGGGATAGATTGGTACCGATTGGTGATTGAGGGGCCCAATGCAGGTGTAGCGATCGCCATACTCGGCCGTGGTGACGGGCGCCTTGGACTTGAGGACGGAGTAGATGCCACCGACTTTGATTGGGTCAGTAAGAAGGGTCTAGAGACGCAGGCGAGGAGATGAATTGGCATCCATGGTGGAGGGGAGCTGACCTCGATGGGCTACCTCGGTGGAGATCTCAAAGAGGAGGTGATTCTTGACGTCGCGCGTCGGCTGGTGTCCGTTGGAAGCCATCCTTGCAGGTGATTGTGTGCGTGCGTTGCGTGTTGCGTGTTGCGTGTGGAGGAAGAGATCGGCTCGGCCGGCTAGAAATGGAGAGGAGGCAAGGACGACGGTCCAACTGGACGACTAGATGCGACGGAGAGCAGCACAACTCTGTGAATCCTGAGAGGAGAAGAGAAGAAGGAGATTGATGGAGAGGAGAGAGAGAGACAAGTGGAAGATGAGCAGGAACAGAACACGAGCGACTTTGTTTGCAGTTCCCTGAGGCTCCTCCTTCCCTGTTCGTGTGGGCTGGGGAAAAGGGAAAAAAAAAAAAAAAAAAAAAGTA